GCTGGGGAGATGGCTCAGTAGGATAAGCGCTTGACTGGCAAACGCAAGGATCTGAGTTCAATCCCTGGTTCCGCCAAAAAAAAAAAAAAAAAAAAGACATGGAAGCAGGAGAGAAAAAGGGCAGGGAAGGGCACAGGTGAGGATGTGTCACAAATGCCACTATGTTACGTGCTGCAGACATGGCCTAAGAAAAGGAAAAATTGTTTTAAAAAACCAGAAGCACCTGAGGGCCGCCAGGCACCTCCTGGGCAGCTGCTACAGCCCGTGTCAGAGATGTCCAGGTCAAGACCTGCCAGGCGAGAGAGCGCCGGCCACCCCACAGTGCCGCCACTGCCGCCCCGACCCCGTCCACGCAGCTGTGCTTCGGCCTCCTCTCCCGGTGCGGACAAAGCTCCTTCATGCCTGCAGATCAAAGGCCTTGGTGGCCCCACCACCCAGAGTACTGCTGCGGACCATCCCCGTAGGCACAGGCCACAGGCCGCACGTGGACAGAGGAGGTGCCACGCGAGAAGACCCGGGCACGCCGCCCCGCAGCTCAAGTGAAGCCAGGTCCTGGAGCCACTCTGTCGTCACTGGGTGGCTCAGCTCACTACAAAGCTGAGCTGTTCCAGCCTTCTATTTCTTTCGCTGGCCAATGTCACTCACCACAGGGAAACAGAACCCTAACACTGCCTTTCCTTTTCTTTTTCAGTCTCTATCTTGAGGTGGGGGCTTGCTGTGCTACCCGGGTTGCACCCACCCTTTGATCCTCCTGCCTCAGCCTCCCCGAGTGCTGGCCTCACAGGCATGCGCTGCAGTACCTGCCTTCACACCGCGCTTCTTAAAAACAAGTATCACATTCCACTGGTGTTGAATTCAAATAGTTCTACTTTTTTGCCAAAGACAGATTAGCTAAGCCTGCATGCTAAAGCAGGAGACAGGTGGCCCACGTCCCCTCCCTGTGGAGGAGGAGTGGAAGAAGCCCTGACCAGAGACGGGTTCAGGCTGGAGCGGGCAGCAGGCTCGGAGTCTGTCTCCCAGTTTGCCAGTACTCTGTGGCTTGTACTGAGGACACAACCCTCCCGCTAGGCCAGAGTGCTTTGAGACGTGGGCTCAGTGAGTTGCCCAGGCTGGCCTTGAACTTGCAATCCTCCTGCCTCCCGAGGCACCGGGATTCATCCGGGACAGGCCGCTATCCCGCAGGGTGCTGAGCCATGAGCCCCAGCCCTTCACCCCTAGAGACCCACAGAGAAATACAAACATACACCGCAGTGTGTCCCCTGCGACTGACAGTGCCAGGAAACCGGAGCGCACTGACACGGGTAGGGCAGGGAAGCGGCCAAGTCGATCATGGAATAGTCGCATGATAAAATAATGTGACTGATGTGACTGCCCGATGTGATGACACACGCCTGCAACGCTGGCGCTCAGGAGGCTGAGGCAGGAAGATCCCTGCAAGTTCGAGGCCAGCCTGGGCTACGCTGTGAGGTCAAGGCCGGCCTGCACTGCAGAGCGAGACCTATCTCAAAAGCCACAAGTAACGCTGATAGCTGTAACACAACTACAAGATAAGGTTTTGTTGTCCGGTGGTACCACCATGCGTTTAATGCTCGGGTGACCTGGCCAGGCCAGCGTCAGGATGCGCAGGGGCAGCAGGAACCCAGGATCCCAGGCCAGCACAGGGAACCCTCCCAGGAAAGTCAGTCACCAAAATTCCCAAACACAAGAAACCGCTGCAGCTGTACCTACCTTGAAAGTCCGGTCCATGGAGGCCGAGAGCAGCAGCTGGCTGCGGGCTGGAACCGGGCACCACTGGATGCCATTGACTGGGCCCTGGTGGCCCCGCAGCTGGCACAGCACGGTCCTGGGCACCCGGGTCTCCCTGCGCGGGCTGCTCAGATGCGGCTGGATCACCTCTGAGGCCCCAGGGGGCAGGCGTAGCGGGGCGGGGGCACTGCCCTCTGGGGGTCCCTGTGGCTCCTGGCCCAGCTCAGTGCCTGCCGCCTGCTGATGCCTCAGCCTCTTGGGGATGTAGGGGACCACACAGTCCTCACTACTGCTGCGCTTGTGCAGGGGCCCAATATAGCTGCCAGGGGCTGTGGCCTCATCCTGGGCCCAGGAGGCGGGAGCAGTCCCGGGGGATCGGAGGTGCTTCTGGGCGGCAGCAGCCAGGGGTGCAGCAGGGGCACAGGTGGCCCACAGCGATGAGGACTTGGGTCGGGGAGGCGCCTGAGCAGGATGAGCAGCCTTCGGGTCCTTCCCGGGCCACTGCAGCCTGGGGCTGGGGCTGCAGCCTCGCCCACTGTCCCACAGCCGAGCCTTCGGGAGTTGGTGCTGCCTGGCATCTGCAGAAGGACGGGGATCCAGGCACGGCAGCCCCTGGCACCTCAGCTGTGCTGCAGCAGATGTGACACCTGTCCCAGAGGGCGCAGCTGCACCCCAGCAGTCCCAGCCAGCAGTCCTCCCACCTCCACCAGGCTCAGGATCGGCCTCGGAGTCAGAATCTTCGTACGCCACCAGGGAGGCCATTGAACACGGTGTCCTATGGTACCACCAGGACAAATGACCTGAGACCAAACAAAATCAAGAGTCAGAAGAGGTGCACAGCAGACATTGCTGGTGCACACACTCAGGAAGCTAAGGCAGGAGGGCTGTGAGCCCAAGGCGACACTTTGTCTCAAGATAAACTAGGTCCGTGGCAGAGTCCCTGTGTTCAATCAATCACCAGTACTAGGAAAAGGAAAGAAAGATCATCAGAAAATCAACACTTCCAAACCCACCAGAATAAACATTAAAAAAACAAGGGCTTTTAGCGTTTAACCCCAGCACTCCTAGAGCTGCCCAGTTAGCCAGCTGCTGAAAAATTTAATGTGCTGATGCTGGGCCCAGTGCTACACACCTGTAACCCCAGCTCTCAGGAGGCTGGGGCAGGAGGATCTTTGCAACTTCAAGACCAGCCCAGACTACAAAATGAGCTCAAAGCCAGCCTGACCTGCATAGAAAAACCCTGTCACAAAAAAAGACCAAAAAAACAAACAAAAAAAAAATTTAAGAATATATATATATATATATATATATATATATATATATATATATATATCATATATTAAAATAGGCTAGGAACAGGGCATGGTGACACACTCCTATAATCCAGCCCTTCTGGGAAGGCTGAGACAGGAGGATGGCCAAGAGTTTGAGGCCAGCCTGAGCTACGTTGTGAGTTCAAAGCTACATAGCAAGACTCTATCTCAAAAACCTAAAATAAAATGGGGCTGTCATTCAGTGCAAAGGCCCTGGGTTCAACCCTAGTACCAGGAAAGTGTGCGGCTTTTTTTTTCAAAAAGGTAAAAGATTTTTAAATGTTTTTAATGTAAAGAAATGATGAGAAAAATAGCTGTGCCTACGCTGATTTAAACATCACATCACTGGGGGGCTGCCCCTTACCTAAGCTCTTTAAGTGCCTATTTCAACTAAGCAGTCAGGTTCAGGCTGCTGTGGTTCGATCCCCAGAACTCAAGCCAGCCAAACCTGCCTTACATCATAGCTTTAAAAATTAAATAATTTTTAAAATACTTTCCTGTACACCAGATATAATTACGTGTTATAATCTTTAAAATGAAGAATACAGGATACCTGAAAACAAACCTAAAAAAACTATGCAAGGCGTATATGGGAAAAAATGAACAGTTTATAAGGGCCAGACAAATAGCTCAGCAGACTAAAGTGCCTGCTTAGGGAAAGCTCAGGAGCTTGGGTTCCATCCCCAGCACCACAAGCTGTACCGGCACCGCCCGGCGCTTGGGAGGCCAAAAACAGGAAGATCACTACAAGTCCAATCTGTGGAGTGAGACCCTGTAGACCCTCGACTAAATACACAAAAATAAATAAATAAAACTGAACAGTTTCATTGGCAGACATAACTTGAGGGCCCAGCTAGGGGGGCACAGTAGTACATACCTGTACTCCCAGATATTCAAGAAGGCAATAGGATCACAAATTAGCAAAACAGATCAGGAAAAATCCTACCGCAAAATAATTTTTTTTTTCTTTTTAACCCAGGATCTCCCAGTGTAGTCCAGATTGGCCTGGAGCTCACTTATGTAGCCCCTGCTGACCTCCAACTCACGTGATCCTCCTGCCTCAGCCTCCTTGAGTGCTGGTGTTACCTGGTTTATTTTTTTTGGTTTTTGGACAGGGTTAATTTACCATGTAGGGGCTGGTGAGATGGCTCAGTGGTCTAAAGCACCTACTTAGAACAAGCTAAGCTAAGCAAAGCACAGGGACCGCGGTTCAATCCCCCAGCACCACAAGCCAGCCAGCCCCGCCCCCTGGTGGGCTGAGCTGGCCACACACACACAAAATAAACAAACAAATAAATAAAAAAATATTAAAAAAAAAAATTTACCATGTAGCCCTCTTGAACTTGCCAGGATTGTTCTGCCTCAGCCTCCCAAGCGCTCGGACCACAGGTTGCACCACCACACCTGTCTCACCCCAGGCCCACAGCCTAGGCACAGCCTCCAGCAGCTAAAGGGGGAGGAGGGGCGGGGGGCAGTGGGATGGGGGGATGTGGGCAGGCGCGGGGCGGATGCCCACCGCTGTACCCTGCTTCACTGTGAGGCGCGGGGCGGATGCCCACCGCTGTACCCTGCTCCACTGTGAGGCGCGGGGCAGATGCCCACCGCTGTACCCTGCTCCACTGTGTGCCCCGGCAGCTGAGCCCACAGGGCCTGCGGCTGCTCCTCAGTGGGCTCCAGGAAAGGAGCTCACGGCTGGAGGTGAACAGCGCTTGGCGGACGATACAGGGATGCGCAAAGGACCAGCAGGGGCGCCGCGGGGCACCGGCGGGGGCTTCCCCTACTCCTGGGCTGGGCATGTGTCCTGGATCCAGGAACAGCGTGCACAGCCGAAGTCAGTGTGCAAAATATTACTTCTGGACCGGGCGTAGTGGCGCACTCGTCCGATCCCAGCACTGGGGGACTGAGGCAGGAGGATCCCTGTGAGTTCCAGACCAGCCTGGCCTACAAAGTGAGCTCAAGGCCAGCCTCAGCTGCACTGCGAAACAAATTTATGGACAGATGAGGAAGCAGGAGATGGAGGTCCGGCAAATAGGCAGGGGGCCAAGAGGCCAAGATGGGGAACAAAACAAATGTTTTTCCTGCCAGGAGGACTCCCCAGGGGTAATGCACCGTGAACCCAGACTAATAAAATTGAAAGCCCAGTGGGTGGCTGAGGCAGGAAGATCGCCTGGGGTTCAAGGCCAGCCTGAGCTACACAATGAGATCCTTTCTCAAAAATAAATAATTTGTTTTTTTTTTTTTAATTTTTTTTTAAATATTTATTTATTTATTTATTTATTTAATGTCTGTATGTGGCCAGCTCAGCCCACCAGGGGGCAGGGCTGGCTGGCATGTGGTGCTGGGGGATTGAACCGCGGTTCCTGTGCTTTGCTTAGCTTGTTCTAAGTAGGTGCTTTAGACCACTGAGCCATCTCACCAGCCCAAAAATAAATAATTTGATGTGGTATTTTTATACACTTGAGGGGCCAGGAAGATAGCTCCTACTTTCAATCCCCAGTTTTAAAAAAAAAAAAAAAAATGGTGCATTACTCAGCTACAAAGGAAGATAAACCTGAGGCTTTTCTAGGTAAATAGATGTACCGAGAGACCATACTCCTAACACCGTATTATCTCCCTAGTGTGAGAATCTGAAAGAGGAAATAAAATCTGAAAGGTACAATAGAAAGGGGAAGAAACTGAACAAAAGGAAAGAATAACCTGGGTGGGGGAAAGGAGAAAAGAAAGGGAAAAAAGGGAAGGAAAAATCATGTGAGTATATACACAGGATAGCTGAGCTGATTGTACTAATTTCTATCGCTTTTTTGAAGGGAGCAGTTAATTCTGGAGGTTTTTTACTTATGAACAACTTTTTTTTTCTCTTTTTCACAGGGTCTCACTGTGCAGCTCAGGCTGGCCTTGAGCTAGCACACTGTGTAGCCCGGGCTGGCCTTGCACTCCCAACAATCCTCCCGCCTCACCTCAGCGTCCCGGGTGCTGGGGTCACAAGCCTCACGCCCAGCTACTTTAGCCAACTTTCCATGCTAAGGTCTGTCATCTGAGGACTACACTGAATACAACAATGCACAATGTAACAGCCACCCTGCAATTCCTACCAGCTTGGTTTCCTGCACATTGTGTATTCTTTCTAATGTTTTATCTACTACTTTTCTTTCTTTTTTTTTTTTTCTTTTTTTTTTTTTTGCAGAACCAGGGATTGAACTCAGTCCCTTGGTGCTTGCCAGGGAAGAGCTTATTCCACTGAGCCATCTCCCCAGCCCCTCTACTACTTTTCTATTCTTTTTAAATTTTAAGAAATTAATTAGGGGCTGGGGAGATAGCTCAGTAGAATAAGTGCTTGCCTAACAAGTGCAAGGTCCTGAGTTCAATCCCCAGTACCGCAAAAATAAAAGAAAAATAAAAAGAAATTAATTAATTAATTAAAAAGCAAGACCCCGACAGCCAGCCCCACCTCACGATGTCCCCACCCCAAGTGGGCTCCTTACAGCCTGAGGAGACACCCTGCTCCCAGACCTGACCCCCAGAGTCCTTCCTTCCGGGCGCAGCGCGGGGCTCCCGTGGGCAGGAGCGTGGCTCGGTGAGTCGGGGGCAGTGCAGCCCCGGCCCGAGTGTGCGCAGGGTTCCCGACTCACTGCCCTCCGTCTACATGTTGCTACTCACTCAACAAACACGGGGACGCACTGGCCCCTCGCCATGTCCCACAGGAACCAGCGGGGAGCAAGACCGTCGCTGATGACCAGCGCCCACACCCCTAGGGCAGTGCCAACTCCAAACCCAGCGCCTAGGCCGTGTCAGGTGTAGGCGAGCGCGCACGGAGAAAAGCAAGCGCAAGAGCTCAGGCCGGCTGGCCAGGGGCCACAGCTTCATGGGGACGCTGGGGCAGTCGGCTCCGGAGAGGACCTCGGCGATGCTCGAGGAGGGGAGGGAGGCTGCAGCACCCCGCGGGTGACGGGGACAGGAGTCCCTGCGAAGTAAGAACGAAAAGCACAAAACTGCAGGAGTCCGGACGATAGCAACTTAGGACGAGCCGCTGCCTTGTTTCCTAAAACGAAAGACTGAACCAAGAGGAAAGCTGGGCGCGGTGGCTCGCACCGTGATCCAGGCGTCGGGAGGCTGAGGCAGGAGGACCGCCAGGCATTCCTTCGCGGCCAGTCCGGACGACATAGCGAGAGCCTGTCTCAGAAAAGCAAGACAAGCAAATAAACCAAAGGGAGAAACCCCCTTAGGAACCAACAGAAAGAAGTCTAGTAGGAGTATTTGGGGGCTTAAAGCCAAAGGATGGCAGCGCAGGGGAAGTAAAAGCTAAGCAACGCTCTCATTCAACAAGTATTTCCCGACCACCCACTCTGTGTTCAGACCCAAGCCGAACAGGATGTAGGCGCAAAGTACAGAAAGCACGCATCCTGCCCCAAAGGCCAGACTGATGAAGGGTACGGGCAAGACACTCCCGAGATGGGTTGTGTAGGATGAATAGAAGTTAGCGCGCTGTCATCAGTAAGCGACAGGGTGGTACAGAGCACAGCGCTCTCGGAGGAACGGAAGGGGAAAGGAAGGAGATCGGCGGCAGGAACTCGCGCCCGAGTGCCGGAGAGCGCTCTGGCTCTGCCGGGTCGGGCTCCCTCCCGCCCAGGGCCCGCCGCTCACCACAAGCACCGGAAGCGCTCGGCAACCGCCCCGAGCCGGTCCGGCCGCGAGCCCGCCGCCCAGTCGCGTTCCGCCGCGACGCCTGGGCGGCCAGCCAATCGGCGGCGGGCTCGGCCCCGCCCCTGCGCGGACAGCCAATGGTGGGGCGGCGAGGCCGGAAGTTGCTCCGGCCGGACGGCGTTTCCACGGACGCCCAGGAGCCACCCTGTGGCCGTGCCCGCGGCGCGCTCGGGCCGGTGGGCTGGGTAAGTGAGGCTGGGGCGCGGCGCCGGGGCGGGCGCGAGGACCAGCCCGGAGACCCCGCCTCGAGCCCCGC